AATTAAGTTTAGTTAAATAAAAGTATAAAAATTAATGCATATATTTCAATTTATACTATGACTTACCTCATTATATTTTCGTTGTTTGTTTTTACTTTTTAGTATATTCGAATTATTATTAAATATTTATATTATGATGATATTTACATTAAACATTTGTGAGAATTAATCCTTAGATGTTGTATTTGATGTCATTCAAATAATATAATAATTTTTGTAATTAACCATTCAATTTTATTATATGCAAATATACTTGTAATATTCAATAAAAAAAAATATGCCCAAATAGCTTACACAACACGCAACGCTATTTATGCTATGCAGTATAAAGACCAAAACGCGATGCATTACGCTATACGCATTTTAAAACACTGGGTAAAATAGAAAATGAATGATATTTTTGCTTAAAGAAAAAGGGTATGATAGTAAATATGTATTTGTTAAAAACTATAGGGTGGGATCAGTGTTTTAAAACGCGCATCGCGCATCGCGTCGCGTTTTGGTATTAATATTGCGTAGCATAAATAGCGTAGCACATTGCGTAAGCTATTCGAGCAGTTCACTTATAATGCCAAACATAATAATATATATAACCATACAAGTAAATAAATAATTGAAATGGTCTTAAACCATAAACTTAGACATTAAATCTAAGCAATAATATTCAAATATTAGTTCATACAAACAACCTAAGTCATAATCTTCAAGTTAAAGACTCAAAATCTAAAAGTAATCGGTCTCATCCAATTGATAAGTAAACAACACTCATCCGACACCAAACTGATAAAAGGTAAGACAGATTCTACGAATACAGAGATGAAGTAATAAAAGTTTCTCCAGTAGTCAGTTTACTTCCAGTCAAATAGACAAGTGATGCACGGCCCAACAGACAATACACAAATGAAAATAACATAGATGAAAAGAGAAAGAAATTACAATTTAATCAAAATTTGGGAAAAAAGTAATTTTTACTAGACATGAATTGAATTGTCTGTTATGAGGAAATTGAATTGTATTAATTCTTATCTAGTCATATTCCATTATTCTTACACCAAAACAAAGCAATCTACTAAAATTCAAGCACTAAGACTTAATGGCCTTGCCAAAAGAGTTGCAGCCTAACCATAACATTAGGCTATACGAATGCAACAAACAAAAACAATGCAACAAATTTGGTTTAAAGAAAATTCATGAGCAGCGAAAAAAAAAAAAACTTTAAAATCCCATCAAAGTCAAAAAATCAAAATAATCAAGTGAATATAGAAGAGGCTCAATTCCAATTTCAATTTCATAATCTCCAAACAAAAACAAAATCTTACCTTTGGAGTCGACCGAGAAGCAGGAGATGTCGGGTAGAGAGGGCCGAGGAGCAGGCACTTTGGGGGTGCCGAGAGCCGGGCGAGAGGCGAGAGAAGAGAGCCGAGGAACCGGAGGATGTTTTGAGAATTAGCTTGTGAGGATGCTGAGGTGGAGCCGTGCGCCGGGTTATGGTGGGCTGTGGATGTTGCAATGGAGGCTGCGGTGGAGAGGCTCTAGGCTGAGAGGGAGAGATGACGAAGAGAAATAGAAAAGTGAAATGACGGTTTGTTCGCTCCCTAGTCGCTGGCTCGATGCCCACGATTTACTTTTCTTTTTTCTTTTTTTTTTTATTTTTTTTTCAAACGATAGAAATCTATCTATCTTTACTCTTAATATATAAAAAGATCGCATGAGCCCTCTTTACTTGACACGTGGCTCTTCATTCTTGCGAGAACACCGGTTGGAAAGGACATTTCTGGACCGTAGATTTTAGGGTTAAATCTCAACCGTTGGCTTTAGGCTTTAAGTAATCTCTCCTCTCGCCCTCTCGCCTTCTCGCCGCTGAACTCTCTCTCTCTCTCTCTCTCTCTCTCTCTCTCCCTATGTTTCTCACACTTTTTTTTTTCACGATAGACGTCTGGGTGACCTTGGATCTAGCGAAATGATATTTTGTTCTTCACGTTAATGGTTGGGTTTCGATTGTATTAGATCTTTTTATTTTTTTCATCCTTTTTTGTCATCCTTTTTCTCCAGAGATAATTCACAGGTTAGTTTCTTTTGATTTTTTCGATTGACAAACTCTTTCTCTCTTATTTTTTGATTGTTTTTTTAACATCTTCAGATTATACCAACGTTTCTTTTGGTTTTTTCGATTGACAAACTCTTTCTCTCATTTTTTGATTATTTTTTTAACATCTTCAGATTATACCAGCGTAAGTGTCGCCGGCATGAAAGGCGGACACAAATGACAAAGAATCGGGGGATATTGTACCCCGACGGGAATTGAGTTCGCTGAGAATTAGCTACGATGGGGCTTCTGCCAAAAAATTTGGGCTTACTATTTTTCTTCTATCCTCACCGCTTCATATGTGAGGTAATTGCTAAGCATTAGGTGGGTTAGACTTAACATGTGTCTATGTTTACTTTACAAAAAAAATCCATAAATTTTTTACATAGTTTTTTCTTGTTTTTTTTTTCCTATGATTTGCAAGTGAATTTTGAAGGTGATGAGTCGATAACTGTGAAGACGAGATTAAAAATGGATACAAGTCATGGTTGGTGCAACTATTCCGCAGACTTGTTGTGAGCTGCTTTTCATTTGTGAGCAAAGAAAATTGAAGATAAAAGAAGATGCAAGAAATTATATTTGTTGTCAACAGGACGAGGTGTATATGAACCCTCAATTTAAGCAGTGGGTGCTTCACGTGCTGTAAGTTTCCTTTTCAGATTATACTCATTGGGAATTGTTTTTTATGTTGAGTGTTTTCTAACCTTTGTCAGCTTGGATGTTTTGAATGTGAGGTATATGTGTTTGTGCACGTGTGCCTCGGGTGATTCCTTCCGCGGAGGAGAGGAATTGACAACGGGAGCCGAGACTAACTGAGGCTGCCAGAAAGAAGGACGAGCGGGGAGATTTCGTGTCTCTTCATTTTCCGGGCTGCTTTTGGCCATTGAAAGAGGAATTCAACTATTTCATCCATTATCTTTTTTCCTAGCTTTTTTTATTGTTTAATTTCCATTTTATTTAGCTGCTATTTACTGAAAATCCATTTGTGGTTCATTTAAGCTCTGATCGGGCGCGTAAAAGGGAGTATTCGATTCAGCTCGGGGTTGTTCGACATGTGACAGTAAGCGGCTTGTATAGAACTTCACGGGCTGATGAGCCTGGAAGAGAGCTTCCGCTGGTAATCTTCATCTTTGCCTCTGTACTTCTTCGAGCACATTCGAATTACGAATTGAATATATAATTGTTAATTCACACGCACATAACACGCACTAATGTTAATAACACATTGTTCATGCACATTACATGAAAAGTAGCTAAAACTCAAAATTTTAATCACATTTTTTTCACCATTGCATCATAACAGATGATTAACTATTTTCATATTATGAATTTCTAATGTCATTTGTTGAATATCATGCCTTAGAAAATAACTTTCACGATTGGATGTCAGGTTCTTTGTCCACATATCAAGGGAGTACTTGTTTACTTATTGGGCTTCTTTCCTACTTTACAAGGACTACGATAGAGTCCCATCAATGCGACTATATTTTTTGTCTTCGCAGGGCAAGCATGCCGAGCCAAACAATTTGCGGTAAGTTTTAACTAATTGCATTTACAATGTTAAGCATGTTAAAGCAAAAGTTGTTATTGTACGGTTTTATTTGGTTTATGATGGTGTAGGGCATCCTATGTTATCAAACTTGTTTGTTAAATTTTATCTTTAACTCTTATTTATAAAAACATTGTAAGGGCATTCACAAAACGACATGTGGTGCTTCATTTCTAATAGGCCACGTCGCATGAGTGTTAAACGACGCCGTTTCAATTTAGGCTCAAATGGTGTCGTTTGCATTTGTGATAAATTGTTGTCGGCCTCTTTCTCTCCCAATTTCACATCTTTCGCGCCTGTGTTTCCTCTCTCTACGTTTGAAAAAGAAAAAAAAAATCGCGACCGTTCTCTGCGCGGTTTCTTCTTCTCCAAAATAGGTCCGGAAAAGTTTTCAATTTTTTTCGGTATAATCTTTTCTTTTATTCACCATGTTTGGTCTAGGGTTTCGACATTTGTAAGGAATTCTTCTGTTTCCGTATTGTGTTGCTGCAATAGAGATGTGAGGGTTTATTGGTGCTCGATTTCCATTTGAAAAACGTAAGTGGTCTGTTCTTTATTCCCGTTAAGTTAAATTATGTCTTTTTGCTTTCAATGGATCCTTAGTTGAGGTAGAAACTACCATTCAGTTTGATAGGGTTTTCAGTTTCCGGATTTTATATGTTCTCTTGAAGGTGGCGGAGTAAGACAGTGAGGATCATGCGTTGGTAACGTCGCCGGAACAAAAAACTGGGGCGGTCTGTTCTTTCAATTGCTTTTTTTTTTTTGTGTGTTTTTTAACATTCCATGTGTACTGTTGGCCATAGATATATGTATGTTTGATTGCATTCTTCTTGGGTTCTTTCGAGTTTGTGATTTAGGTTATTCCTCCACTTGACATAGTTTTACTGTAGTACCTTGGATTTTTTTATTCCAATTGACAAATTACGAAGAATGTCCGAAACCTTCTGTGGTATGATTACATTCAAATATTTTTGTATCTTCTTGCAGGTACTTTTTTTTTAATTTTTTTATATTATTTTAGCTTTCTTCTACCTACTGATTACTTCCTGCATTATTTTATATGTTTGTTGATTTGATATGGTCACACTAAGTTATTTTTTTTCTATTATTATATATTGTACTAAAGTAAGATAATTCTGACAATGTATGGTTTATTTAAATTATATCTTTCTATACAAGCAGTTTGTCTTTAAATAATGCTATCTTACAAAACATATCTACTGAAAGAGGTAAGTTCATTCTCCTCAGGTTATACGTACATATTATTCTATATTCATCTAAATTTCTTTCTTCCTGTTGAAGCCATTTTCTCTTTTTCCTGATATTTTTGGCAACATAAATCACAGGCAGTAGGGATCTATTTTTTTTTTCACTCTGCTTTTATGTAAGCTAACTATATTGTCAATGTATCGTCTAGGGAAACTTGCTTCTTAAAATAATAAAATTGGCTATATGTGTGTATCACGAGATCAGAAATTTTAGGAGTTTTCTTTTGTTTGAGATTTCTTCCTCATTGTGTTATTCTTAATAAATTTACTTTTTGAAGTTGTTATGGAAATGGGTGTGCTCAAGATATGTAACTTGATGAATTTAATACTAAGTTGTGTGTTGTCTTTATTTATGCTAAAATGGTTTGTCTTTTTTTTGTGAGTGTTTCTATGTGTTAGTATAAAAAAAATTGCATTTGTATATTGTGTGTTTTACCTTTATCTGTTAAAAATTAAGTTGCTTTTATGAAAATAGATAACCATGTGAATAGTAAATTGGTTGTTGTGTAGATGGTAGTAGGTATAAGATAAAGTGAGTTCTTCTTTCTGAATGATCTCTAATATCCTTTATAAAGATATTACATCGTTTTTAGGTAGTGCTTTTAGAGCACCTAATGTGTTATTTAGATGTAAATGTTGTGTAAAAAAAAATTCATTTGTAATTGTATAGAATAGATTATTTTTTGCTATATTGTTTTTGAATAAAAAAAAATTCAACATATCATTTGCTTTTGGGTTAATTGCTAAATAAACCTTAACCTTTCTTGCTTTTGGCAATTTTATCTCAATCTTTGGATAATTGCAATATAATCTCGACCTCAATTTACTTATTGCAAGTCGAACCTAAAACTGATTGGACCTTCAAAAAACTGGTCGATTTGAAGGCGGTTCGAACCGATCGGAGCTCATTTTTATCGGTTCACTCCAGATCTAGGAGGATACTCATCACCGGTAGTTTACATTGACGTTGAATTTTCAGCTTTGTGCGTGCATATACATTAAATACGTGGAAATTGTCAACTTGCTACGTGGATGGCATAAAAACCCGTGTCAATGGAATACTTGGACACAAAATCGATCCACAAATCCCTAAAATCAATCACTCTGCACTCAAATTTGCAATAAGTAAATTGAAGTCGAGATAATATTGCAATTACCCAAAGATTGGGATAAAATTGCCAAACGCAAAAAGGTTAAGATTTATTTAGCAATTAACCCTTTGCTTTTTTAGGTTGTAGCTCTTTGATCTTGCTTGGCAAACAAACCGAAACGCTGTCGCTGCTGTCCGTTGGTTGTTATCAGGTTAGCCGTATACTATTCCGAACTGCAATTGTATCATGATTGCTTGGTTATATATCTATATTTTTATGTGTGTAATTATATATAGCCTAATACTATTGTTCTTTATGGCCTACCATTTTTTACAACCATGTATGATTTGTTCCAATTACAAAATTAAGAGCATTCATACTTCAAACAAGGTACAATGTCGACTAATACACATAGAAAATCCTCAAATATATTATTCAACAAATAGATTCATTCACCTAATCTACTATCACCCAACAGGTAACAGGAAAAGAGCTCTTCAGCCCAACACTGAAAATTTCTTGACTCCCTCACCCCACCACATGAAAAAACTACAGCAATGACGCCTTCAGAGTCATCGGTCAAAAAACGCATCAAGTTTGATAATCAGCAATCCTCCACATCAAGAAACAACACCACGTGTGCCCAAATTCCCGAATCATCCAGCCAACAAACACTTGAACCCAGTACAATGTGTACTGCAAGCCCGACAAAGAAAAGTAGCCCAAAAATGGACATGCTCATGTGTAACTGCACTTTTGAACTTTTGGAAGGCACAAGTGCCATGGAACATATCTTTTATATTTTGTATCTGCATTCCCCAGCATTTAAGCCATCTATTCACATACAGATGTTGCTGCATTTTGTAGTTGCGTGGTGGCATATATGCCATGCAAACTAAACTTTTGTGTTTGCCGCTTATGGTACCTATTCCAAACATCTATTTACATATAGATGCCATTGAATTCTAATGCAAACTTGGTGTATTTTTGTATTGCTTACCTGCTATTATGACTTTTTATACGCTCATGTTATGGACTTAAATTTTTCACATATAATGGTTATGCTTTTACTGTATTTAACTCTGCACAATTTCATATACATCAAATGTCTACCTAACTTGGGCCGGCTGTGCTGTGCACAGCCGTAGCCTTCTAGTATTTTCTATATAAAAAGGTTGATGTTAAATTCTTTTTTGGAAACTTAAAATAATTGAGTTAAAATGTTGACTTTCTAATTGTGGAATATCTTAATCC